TAAGAATGCATCCCACAGAATGCACTGAATAATATGTTGCCATTTATCAAAGTGATCAGTGGCAGTGCATCACCTGTCACCATTTTTTTTTTCTTTTTGCTTCATTCCTGGCCGCAAAAGTGCCATCTCAATGAAATTGTGTGTGTGATTCTTAACCTGTTATTTTATTTTATTTGTTATATTGATGTATGAACTTTCATACTTTCTTTTGAATTTAATATCTATATTCTTTTTTTTTTTGTCTCAGAGGCTATTTTTATTCACTGTAATGTATAAAAAGACCTTACCATCAATCATTATTTGTTTATTTATTCTTAAATGGGTTGTAACACTCACACATATAAGATTTCAATGTCGAAAGAAAAAATTTACAAGTTTGAGGTATTTAAAGCTACAAAATACAAGGACACAAAGTACAAAAAAGATAAGCAAGCCATTACATAATATTAAAGAATTGACAAATTTGATAAAACATGAGACACAAATGAGAAATTAACAGTGAACAGTAAGACACATGAGACAGACACTTGAGTAAGACAAATAAGTGAATATTAGCTAGCACTTTTAATGCTCTTTCTAATCAATTTTATTGTTTATAGTCATCACTGGCCATATAATTTTCATGGAAAAAGCATTCTAGTTTTGGAAATCTACAATTTGGAGATGTGCATAATCAGCTCCATTTTCTTCTCATGTGTTTCAAGGATGAATGATCATGGTCATCTCTTCACTAGAGTTCATGGTTGTAGTGAAAGTAATGTAAGCACTTGCCTCTTTCCCTAGACATTGAATAAGAAGAACAAAAAATTACATAACAAACAAAATATATTTGTGAAATATTATTTTGACAAAAGTTAGATTGTATTTTATTGTCAAGTACTAACAGTATATAAATATTGTTAAAACTTGGTGATTTCACGCCTCCCTTCCCTAAAATGTTTTCAGACCATCTCTCTAAAACCTAGCACAAATTCTGGATATGGCCTTGATAGGATCCATTCAAGGGAGCTATTAATTGTTGCTGTCACAATACCTAATTGTACTTACAAATTTCCAGTAATAATTTCATTAATATACTATACATTATTTCAAAATAATTTTGAAAGAAAGTTCTGACACCAAATGTTTCTTCCTCAGTTAATATCAATTCTGTTGACTCCACTAGGAAAACCTCAGAATTGGTTTATGTCTACTTTTTGTTTTATTTTTCAGGTCTAATGTATTCTACTGCTTGTTATCTCCACATTCCATGTCAGGTAAGTGCAAATGTGTGACAGAGACAGCAATACATTTTCATCATCGGAATATTGTTAAATTTAAATAATGAAAAAAAATATTAAAAAATTGGAGAATTGTTGGGAACAGAATATGAGCACCAAGGCCCTAGGAAAATATACAGCACCGGCCAAACATGGCAAATTGTTATGACAGCATTTTAATCTTTTTTCAAAGAGAAGGAAAAAAAGAAGAAAAAAACGTTGAACACAGATTAGGAAACAATTAGTGTTTGTGTGTGTGTGTGAGTGAGTGTGCATGCATTTGTGTGTGTATATATAATTTCTTTATATAAATTGATTGGTTGGTTGAATAGACAGACATGCTGTTATAGTACACAAAATAATAATAATTTTGAGGATAATGTTTTTAAATTAAAAAAATACAAACTCTGTTTTTAAAATCCTTTTTTTATTATTAGATTTGTGAATTTACACCTACATTTTTACATGATAAATTTATCAGAAGCATTCCTGCTTAGTGAGATTTTAGTGTGTTCAAAGATTGCAACACAAAACATCTAGTGTACACCCTTTTTTTAATATTGGAAACAGATTTTTCCCCTCTATGTATCAGCTATGTACATAATGTATAAAAATACCCCCAGAAAAATGTAGAATGTTAGAAGATTGGTTCACAAAACCAGAGGGTGCCACAAATAAAAGTCATCTGAATTGTGTACTTTACATAAAATGGAAGAGAATGAGGGAAAAAGAGGATAATTCACAACTAACCGGTTCTGAGAAAACTACAAACATGTTTTAATTTCAATACGCAAAAGGTGAAATTGTGTTTTTTTTTTTGGTATATGTGTATCTCTGTAAAGGAGAAACATTTTTGGAAACCACATGACCCTTGTTAATTGTTATAACTTCTACTATAAAACTGTCAGAAAAATTTTCCACCAAAATTTGGGTTTTCCCTACACACATCAATATGGATACAAGAAACAGATCTGACTAGTTTTAACAGTTGACGTATTCTATATATGATGAATCGAATGTGTTTTTTTATAAATGAATGTATTATTTCTTTATTTCACTGAGAAACTACAAAATGTGTAACTAATAAATGCCATAATTTCTTTTGCAGATTAATTTCAGAAATGGAGAAACAATATTGTGAATCAATGTTTGTTTGACTTCAGAGTGAAATGAATTGTAGTCACAGAGGTTTCTCAGTGGCATAATATGGAAGCATATTCTTAAATATCTTCTATTACTTAAGAAGCAAGACAAATTATATTTATTGTTATATTAACAAGCTATAGATATATTTGCAAGTAGCACATTTTGGTCTTCCAGTGCCCATCTATTTGTATAACATTTACAGTTATCAATTCAAAATATTCAACAAATGTAGAAGGTTAAAGAGAAATGTTTATGACACATTTGTATTACTTGCTAGGTAATACATAAAATTATGAAAAGAATTTCATGTAAAAATATTTTGTTAGTGTTTGGTATTAGATACACCTTGCTGACTTCAAATGAGATTCGAGTGCTCATTTTGCCATAGACTAACACCTTGACAAGTCAAAATGATGAATTAATCTCAAAAACGATTGCATGAATAATACAGTTGTTGATCACAATAATAATTTGTGGAAAGAAACTAATGGAAGGTATTTGATAATCTCTACAAAATGGAGTATTTTGGAAGGAGTGAATTTTTATAGGCGTAGTCTTATTTTACATTAAAAATAATTAATAAATAGTTTGAACCAAAAAAGAAGAATTACAAGAACAAAGAAGAATGTGCACAATTCATTAGAGTGCAATACTTCAATTAATAGAAGCAATAATAATAATAATAATAATAATAATAATAATAATAATAATATAATAATAATTTATTTCCAAAAGAATTACATTGACAGTGTACAAAAACCATCACCATAAAAAACAATAAAAAAGAATACCAATTTTGTTTGACTACTTTACATACATTATACATCCTGTTTAACCTTTCGGTATTAATTCTGGTCTTATCAGGTGTAAATTTTAAATTTAAATATATTTATAATATAATAATAACAATAATAATAATAATAATAATAATAATAATAATAATAATAATAATAATAATATATTAATATTAATATAATGATACTGGGAATAATTGTAATAGGTTCTTTGGAATCACTTCTTTGTGAGGCTTGAAATTCCAGCAGAAGGAAATTTTTGTAAGAGAACTTAGCATTATATGATACAATTATACATTTTCCTTATTATTTATTTTCTAATTATATTATACCTATTTCCTCTTATAATGAAATTTATTTTAATATACAAATTATAATGACTTAAGAAAAATATTTGATTAGTATCATTAAGTAAGCTAAAGGCTATGTCAGAGTCAAAATTGTGTTTACAGCTCTTAAAGAAAATGTTGTTCCTAATAAGACTGACATGGAATTTTAAGTAATAAAAGTAAATTAATCATAGCAGTAAATGCAATTATGGCAAATAAAATATACAAAAATAAATTGAATACTTTAAATAACTGGAAAGCAAGATAAAAGTATGAAGGGTAATCTGTGTAAAAATTTGAACTATAAATTTCTAAGATGGCTCACTATTTTGTATACCTATTTAAACAAAATGTATTTAGTTATTTGACAGGGTATGAGTAGCTATACGACATTGATAAGGAGTGTCAGAGGTAAGTAATTAAATTTATCCATCAGATATGGTGATTATCTGCACAGTGTGTAGTGTAGATAAACTTGTTTGTGGGATAACATGTAGGTATGAATAAACTCAGTGGTTACCACAGAAATCTTGTGGAAATCCTAATGGATGGGTAAATAGAAATAATTATTTCCATTTACTCTTCTGTATTTTAGTATGTAACTATTTCTTACCTGAGTGTATCATTAATATTTGTGCAAGAGTAGTTTGTGTTAATTAACTCATGTAAATAGTACTTTACAATTGAGACTTTGATGTGGTAGTTCTCCTTGTATTTTATTATGATTTAGTAGAAATTTTGTGATAAAATAATTAGGTTGTATAATGAAGAAATATATTTTTTGTTTAAATATGTAAAATATATTTAATTTGTGGATGGTTGTTGCTAAATTTTCTGAAAAATTAGATAACATTCATTATACAACATATTTAATTGAAATTAAAGAATATTTGTTAATTATACGTTTTTGTACAATACTTTGTAGAACATTCTTTTTTGTTTCTGGATAATAGCATGATAATTTTTGTGTGTGTGTTGTTTATTAATAGTGTGTAAATAGTGTTAATTAATTTGAAATATTGTTAAAGACTTAAATTATTTCTTTGTCTATAAATTAAAGGAAAAAATTGATGAAATTTATCAAAACTTTAGAAAAATAATATTCCTAGAGTCTTAGACAATTTTAAAAATGGTGTCTTTAAATTTAAAAATCCTTTTGAAATCTGATGGCAAGGGAATTAAATCTGTATATAAGTATCATGCATAGTACATTTAACCTCCCTACACTTAATATATTTTATTATCATTAAGGCTGTTATTAATGATAATGTTGATTTTTTGTTTCAGGAATCATGCGCATTTACCTCCTGTCCAGCTTTCTTATACTATTGTTCATATTCTTACATTGCTCAGCTTTACCATGGACACAGGGATATCTGAAATACGGAAAGAATAATTTTATTTATTTATCACCCAGTCAATTTTGGAACAATGGATTAAATAGGGAACCTAACTGTGATGAGCTTCGAGCCATGTGGAGATTCTCAATGGTAAAATCTCGCCGAACAGAAATCACAAATGAAATTCCAACATACCGAGATCCTTTTGCGTATAATATTTGGGAACCACACGCTAGGTCAAAGCATTTACAAAATAGTCCTTTGGAGGGAATAGGTTTTCGACGTTCTCAGAACCATGTTTATGGTAAAATTGTTCATACTGTGCCTACTGATAAGTATACTGAGAAACTTAAAGTAAATGGAAGGAGTTTTGATGATATGGCAAAATTTCTTACATCAGAAAGACCAATAACTCCAAGACGAAAAAATGCTGAAGCATTTCGATTACCCAATGGCGCAGTATCTTTTCGTATGATACCTGCATTGACCGACAGCTTCAGAAAACTGAAAGCTGTTGTGAGGGCACAGAGAGCTAAAGAACTGCAGGATCAGCATCTAGCAGATTCTCATGGAATTATGAAGGATGTTAGCAAAGGAAATCTTCATAACAGTCCTTCCTTTGACTACCTTTATAATGCAAATACTTCGCTAACTGGGAAAAGAAATTTAGCATCTAAAACTCTTCATTTTATTGCTAATCCATCCGCATTTATATATGGATCCCCCAAGTATTACGATCAGTTCCTAGCTGATCATTACATTTCAGATTATGGATACTATTACAGGCCACATGTTGCTCCTATGAACATGAGATATAGTATGATGCCTATCAATACACCATTCCATTATTAATTTGAATGTCAACATCTTGTAATCTAATACAGAATGTCAACCTTGTGTTAGTACACAGTATGCAGTAAATGTAAATGACAATAATATCCAGACAATACCTTGTTTATTTGATGTTTACAACAATGTTAAATGCAGTAATTACTATTCCTAGGTCCAAAGGCGGGATTCCGGGGATGCAGGAGGGCAAGAGAAGGTAACTGTCCCCCCCCCCCCATGACAAGTCAAATTTTAAAAAATATATATTTAGACATTTCATTTCATGGATCTTCAAATTTATATTACAAAAAATTTGATTTGTATTTTGAGAAGAAATTTAATAATAATTAAGCAAACAACAAGTTTATTAAGCTGAGCTAATAATATTAATTAAGTTGTGAAGATCAATATTATAAAATGCGCAGGATAATGTTCAACATTACTGTGAACATGACGCATTACTACATCATCTTTCAATTATATTGCTTGTAATCCAACATTCCTTGAAGTTGGCAAAAGAAAAACATTAAGTTGTTGTCCATGTGGTAAAACAAGTTTCTTTAATGGATCTTCAAAAAAGAACAAATTTGCCAATGCTGCAAAACTTACGGATTCAAAGAAGGCAGCTACTGACTAACTTTTCCGTGATCCAGCCGTTCTAGAATGAACATAGTGTGTTAGAGACCAAAAATTGAATGTTTACAATTTTTGAAAAAATAAGAAAGTGAAATATATAAATGATGTTGATTAAAACTGTTTATTATATTATATACTGTAAGTATGTTTTTCGATTATAATATGTTCTATTATATTCAATGTTATTATATTAATTTAACTTTTCTGATATTATTAATGCAAATCTGTTGTTTTAATCATGTCAGTTCCATTATTAAAACAATTTTTTTTTGTTTTTTGTTTTTTTTTTGAAGAACAGAACAATTTTCATTACAAACGTATGGTAAAAACTAAAATAATGCACAAAAATGTTGCAGTCATTTTCAAAGTGTATTGAAAGTCAATATGATTGAAAGAGAGGGAAATGGTTAAAATGGTTTAAATTTTAACTACAGCTCAGCAATCGAAAAATCTGAAAAAAATCCTCTATGACTTGCTTTGAGAGGAACTTTTGAGATTTTTTTAAACCTGTTCCAGGGTTCTAAGACAGTAATAATATTTTTTATGATTTTAGTTTTGCATCTGAATTTGGCACTCAGAAATTATCAAAAAACCTTTTTTGCTAGTATAAATTATTTTCTTAGTTTTCATAATTTTTAACAATCAGATAGAATAGTGTTAAGTTGGCAAAAAATTGAAATAAAAAAACAAATTTCTGGTTGTATAGGTGTGTGGGTGGTGGGATTGGGACTAAGAAACCTTTCAAAAACATTATTTGAATGATAGAGTTGTAGTGTAGCTTCGCGTACGTCATTTGATTTTGGGGAAATTATAACCATTTTATGTGGGGGAACCTTTGCCCCCACCAATAAAAGATCCGAAATCCCGCCTGTGCCTAGGTCCATACAGAATATATATTTCATCAGTAAATTGACTCAATTATATTAAAAAGTGATATTTGTGTAAACCTTAGCCTCTGTTCTCAGAGAGATTTTTGTATTTGTAATTCCCTCGTTCAATGAACAGTGTAACATATTTTATGATGTTTTACATAAAATTCCTCAGGGCAAATAAAATTTTGAACACACTTTTCATCTAGCAGAAAATCTGAATTTTCAGCTTTCTAATTTGAGCTCATATGTATCTTGAAAATCAATCACAATTGTATAAAGAAAAAGATGCATTCCAAATGTCACTTAATGACTAGTGCAGATGTCAATAAAATGTCAAATCAATTGCAGATTTTAACTTATCAAATACAATTAAAGAAAAGAATCAATACTGAAAAATCATGGGTAAAACAGAACAACGTAACAAAAGATGATAAATAAAGTATAAAAAGTGGAAGCAAGATATAAAAAAAATAAAATAATTCAATCTGCAAGTATTAAAAACAAAATATCAATTTTTCAGCTACAATTAATGTCTTAAGAACTTCATAGTAATAAATTGAAATTGCAAATTTCTTTCTTGCCAATAAGTCAATTTATAATTCACAAGTCAATTTGAGGTGTTTTCATGACAATATCATAATGCATACCAAAAAAGTGTCAATATTTGAGAATTTTTCAGCTTTTGTATAAATTGATTATTAAAATATTAGTTTGCAAAGTATAAATATAATTGCAAACTAATACAGACGTGGACAAAAATTGATGCCATGGAGGAAATTACATTTGTTGTAGTTTTATAATTATATTTCACTTATTATTGTGATGAAAATAATCCCAAAGTATAAATATAGAGATAAAAATGTAAATGTTATTATTTTAAATTGTAATTTTTTGTATTATTTTATTAATTCAAGAATATTACTTCTAACCTGTCTGAATACTAGATGTTATATCTGTGTGTCTCACTATTATCTTAGCTAGAAATATGTGTTATGATGGTCCTTCAAAGTAATTAAATATGTCCAACACACCAAAAGAAATTCTCTTGTTGTACATGGACATATCAATTTTTTGAAGGAAAATTCTCAATAATAGATACCTGAAACACACTCTTGAGTGAATAATTTATTTAGAAGTGAGGAGCATGTATGCAGAAGCAGTTACATTCACCTGAATATATTTTTGGTGAAAATGCAAAAAACTTCTATTTTTCTCATAAGAACTCTTTGAAAGAACTTTCTTAAAACAAAACAAAAAAAATAAAAAATCAAAAAAGTTTGGTGGCAAATTATATGTAATACAGCACAAAGAATACAGAATGTTTAATGAAATAAAACATACTTTGTTTGTTTTGCATTTATTCAAAGAATTTAGCTTGTTAAGGAACAGAGTTGTCGAACATTTTAGTTTGCAGATAACAAAACATTAAATTTTATAATTTTATGATGAAAACTTTGTTATTATCTTTTATTATAATCAGGGTTTCCTCTTGAATCTACATATCAAATTCAAATGATAATGTCAGCACATGTTTGCTGTAATCAATTGGTGTAAAATGTACATTTTTTTCTGTTTACTTCAACCTGTCCATTTAATAAAACCAAAAAATAAACATTAAATGAAACAGTAACTGTATTTAAGAGAAAATAACTCTTAACATTGTAACTACTGTGCCATCAACTTATTAGAAAATTATTAGAATTAAAATATTTCTCTTTATATGCTTTCTTATTACTTTTACGAATAGCCATTATTAAAATAATCAACTTCTTTTTTTATATAGAAATTGGATTTATCAATCTTTACTACTTGTAGTTTAAAATACTCATGATACTTCGATATGTAATAATGTTGTAACTGGTTTCACTTCTATACATGTTGCTGATAGATTACTTTCACCCCAACTTTTATTGGTTTTACTAACACCTCCTCGGGAAAGAGATTTAACTTCTCTTCAATTAATTTATATAATTTGTAAACTTCTTTTATCAGTGGTTTAAATCCTCATCTCATAAGCGAGGAGGAGGGTAATTTATAGGTACCAACAATGCATTTGTCATTGGTACCGATATCAAATTATTTTAATTTTTGGATTTAACTGCTTTTGTCCTTGAGCTACTCATAGGAATAATAGCTAATTCACAACTTCCGTTCAGTTCACCAAATTACATCTTTAAATACGTGAAGAATATTTTGCAAAATTGAGAGATAAGCTATATGAATCTCTTGAGAACAAACTAACGTACAATCATGACAATACAATACGAAATAAAAATGTAGGGGTCAAATAAGAATGAATTTGGACATTGGCAGGTTTGGAGGAAATATGTTTATTAAAAATATTCCGTCCCCTGGGTACACTAATCCAAGGATGAATGTGACGTTTATTCAGAAACTTGTGTATTTATTATTTAATATCTTGTCATTCACATTTAGTTTCACAATCAATTCTAACTTCAGACAATTTTCATTTGAAGATGTGGTGTTATTAAAACATTATTTTGTAAACTATATTCTAGCATTAAAATTGTACATTAAAAATTACATAGCTTGTATTTACTTTTATGTGCTTATTTATTATTGTGAATGATGATAGCTATATGGAGTAGCTATATAATAAAAACCTTTCCCATAATATGTGGAAATTTGAAAAAGATACACATTTTTCTGGAATCAGAAGAAAATGTTATTCTCTCTTTTTTTTACCAATGTATCAAGGTAATATGGTGTATTCCATTTAAAGCAGTGGTGTTCAATTGGTGGTCCATGAATGTTCCCCACTAGTGGACAGTGGTGTTGGTCATTATTACAAAAATTAATTGTTTTTGCATTGCTTCATAAAGAAAACAGCTGTTATTATCAATTCGATTAGTATTCCTTTAATGTGTTTGCTCAAAATAGGAGAAGGCGGTCTCTGCATCTTTCAAAATCATGTAATTAATTGCATTGTCTAAAAGCCTTATACTATTCGGGTAAGCTTTAATTGAACCATATATTTTCAAAAGGCCACTGAAAAAATTCTGGACAAGAAAGAGGTGAGAAAAAAAACAACATATCATTGAGACAACGCATTGTGGGAAAATGTCAATAGATATTAAAGAGCAGCTTGTGAGCAACTATGAAAAGACTCCCTCTTTTGTTCTCAAAGATGATGAAAGTACCAGTGGTGTAACATTCAGGCTTGTAAGGCCTGCAATGCGGGCGAGCCCAGCTGAAAGAGGACCTAGTTTTAGGCAGAAGGTTTTGCAATTGTAAGAAATATTAATTGCTTGATACTTTGCGATAGTTGATCAAATAAAAGATTAAAAGCAGCATCATTCAGAAGAATGATTTTTTTCCACTTCAGTAGCTTATGTAACTCTGTTTCTAAATTAACCAAGGTAAGTAATTCATTTAGGTTTTATAACAGTCTTAATCTCATAAAATTAAATAATAAAGACAGATTGGTTATTAATCATGGACTAATGATTTCGAATTTGGTAAAGGATATTTTTTATTATTTAAGGTACTAACACT